GAGATTTTAACACACCATTGACACCAATGGACAGATCAACCAGACAGAAAATCAGCAAAGAAATAAAAGAACTGAATCATACCTGTGAACAAATGGACTTGATAGACATATACAGAGTATTCCGCCCAACAACAACAAAATACACATTCTTCTCAGCAGTACATGGGTCATTCTCTAAAATAGACCATATATTAACTCACAGAACATATTTAAATAAATGCAAAGGAGTTGAACTTATTGCTTGCATGTTATTGGATATAACGCTATGAAATTAGAAATTAATGATAAAAGATACTGCAAAAATCCCAAAAACATGTGGAAACTGAATAAGACACTCTTGAGTAATCAGTGGGTCACAGAGGAAATTAAAGAAGAAATTAAACAATACCTACAAACAAATGAAAAGACAAAAACAACTTACCGGAATCTGTGGGATGCAATGAAAGCTGTCCTCAGAGGAAAATTTATTGTACTGAGTTCCCACATCAGGAAAACAGAACAAATATAAATAAATAACCTGATGTTATACCTCAAACATCAGGAAAAAGAAGAGCAAGTCAAGCCCAAAGCCAAAAGAAGAGAGGAAATAATAAAAATCAGTGCAGAAATCAATGCAATAGAGACTAAGAAAACAATCCAAAAAAATCAATGAACCAAAGAGTTGGTTCTTTGAGAGAATAAATAAAATTGATAAGCCCCTTGCCAACCTTATTTTAAAAAGGGAAGAAAAAGCTCAAATTCATGCAATAAGGAATGAAAAAGGCAAAATCACTACAGACCCAAAAGAAATACAGAAGATCATCAACCCCTATTTCAAAAACCTCTACTCTCAAAGGTTTGACAACACAGAAGAAATAGACAGATTCCTAGAAGAATATGAAGTACCAAAGCTAGGTCAAGAAGATGTAAAACTGCTGAATAACCCAATTTCTATTAATGAAATTGAAAACGTAATTAAGTCCTTACCTACAAAGAAGAGCCCAGGCCCAGATGGATTCACTGCAGAACTCTATAAGAAATACAAGAAGACCTAATGTCAACACTCCTCAAAATCTTCAATGAAATCGAAAGGGAAGCAATCCTTCCTAAGTCATTCCTGGAAGTAAATATTACTCTAGTACCAAAAGCTGAGAAAGACCCAACTGAAAAAGAGAACTACAGACCAATTTTCCTAATGAACACAGATGCAAAAATTCTCAATAAAATATTGGTAAATAGGATGCAGCAAATCATCAAGAAGATTATACACCATGACCAAGTGGGATTCATCCCAGGTATGCAGGGATGGTTCAACATACGTAAATCAATAAATGTAATCCATCATATCAACAGAGTCAAAAATAAGAATCACATGATCATTTCTATAGATGCAGAAAAAGCTTTTAATAATGTCCAACATTCATTTATGATAAGAACCTTGCAGAAAATTGGAATAGATGGTCTTTACCTCAACATAATAAAGGCCATTTATGACAAACTAACAGCCAGTATCATACTAAATGGCCAAAAATTGAAGGCCTTTACTTTAAAATCAGGCACAAGACAAGGATGTCTCTTATCACCATTCCTATTTAATATAGTACTGGGAATACTAGCAAGAGCAATTAGACAAGAGAGAGAAATAAAAGGCGTAAAGATAGGAAAAGAAGAAGTTAAATTATCATTATTTGCAGATGATATGATACTCTACATAGAAGACCCCCAAAACTCCATTGAAAGACTCCTAGATATAATAAATAAATTCAGCAATGTGACTGGATATATAGTCAATACTCAAAAATCAATAGCATTCCTATACACTAACAACAAAATCACAGAGAGAGAAATAAGAGAAGCCACACCCTTCACACTAGCAACCAAAAAAATGAAATATTTAGGAATTACTCTCATGAAAGAAGTGAAAGACCTATACAGGGAAAATTATAATATACTGAAAAATGAAATTGAAGATGATCTCAGAAAATGAAAAGACATCCCTTGCTCATGGATAGGAAGAATAAATACTGTGAAAATGGCCATTCTCCCAAAACTGTTATACAGATTCAATGCAATCCCAATAAAAATACCATCAACATACTTCATAGATCTAGAGAAATCACTCCTAAAATTCATCTGGAGCGAGAAGAGACCTAGAATAGTAAAGACAGTTCTAAGCAGCAAAGGCAAGGCAGGAGGCATCACAATCACTGACTTGAAGTTATACTATAAAGCAACTGTAGTAAAATCAACATGGTACTGGAATCAAAACAGAGCCGAAGATCAGTGGAATAGATTAGAAGATACAACCACAACTACAAACACGCTCAACCACCTTATCTTTGATAAAGGGGCCAAACATGTTCAGTGGAAGGACAGTCTCTTTAATAAATGGTGTTGGTGGGGCTGGGGATTTAGCTCAGCAGCATAAGCGCCTGCCTTGCAAGCAGGCAGTCATGAGTTCGATCCCCAGTACCAATAAAAAGTAAAAAAGAAAAAGACAAAAAAAAATAGTGTTGGAAAAACTGGCTCTCCATATGCTGAAAACTAAAACTAGACCCATGCCTATCACCATATACTAAAATAAAATCTAAATGGATCAAAGATCTAAATATTAAAACAGAAACACTAAATCTAGTGGAAGACAAATTGGGTAAAAACCTTGAAGACATAGGGGTAGGTAGAGAATTCATGAACAGGACTCAAACCGCATGGGAAATACTTCCCAGAGTCAATAACTGGGATCACCTCTTATTAAAAAGTTTCTGCACGTCAAAAGAAATCTCTAACATAGTGATAAGAAAATCCACAAACTGGGAAAAAAATCTTAGTGAGCTGCCCCTCAGACAAAGGACTTATGTCTAAAACATATAAAGAATTTTAAAAAATCAGACCCCCAATATTCAAAGACCCAATCCAAAAATGGGCATCTGAAATGGATACCTAATTCTCAGATGAAGAAATACAAACGGCAAATAAATACATGAATAAATGTTCATCATCATTAGTCATTAGAGAAATGCAAATTAAAACTACGCTGAGATTTTATCTCACTCCTGAAAGAATGGCCAGGATCAAGAAAACCAACAACAACAAATGCTGGAGAGGCTGTAGGGAAAAAGGAACTCTCCCGCACTGTTGGTGGGAGTGTAGACTAATGCAACCACTGTGGAGGTCAGTCTGGAGATTTCTCAGAAATCTGGGACTGGAAGCCCTATTTGACCTAGCTATTCTACTTCTAGGCATATTCCCAGAAGAACTGAAAGCATCACACCACAGTGATATATGTGCACCCATGTTTATAGTAGCACAATTTGTAATTGCAACATCTTGAAAACAACCTAAGTGTCCATCAACTGAGGAATGGATAAAAAAAGTTGTGGTATTTTTATACAATGGATTACTACTCAGCTATAAAGAATGATCACATTGAGACATTTATAAATAAATGGACGCAGCTTGAAACCACACTCATAAGTGAAATAAATCAAACTCACATGTATAAATACCAAATAGTTTCCCTAGTGTAAGAAATGATAATACATAAAAGTACATGGTAATCATGATTCCCAGTCATACTGGTTTGAAGCCATATAATGTTTTCACTCATTAATTGGAATGGTTTTAATCTGGGTTGTTTGATTTTATTGTCTGCGATAGTACAAATAGCTATTTTGAAGAAAATAAGACAGCGTAATAGCTAGTGCTGATTCAATACCATCCTGTTTTGAAGCCCCATCAAGTTGTTGTTCGTCTGTTTCCACTGGTTTTAACATGTTGTATCTTATTATATTTTAATATATGTGATAGCATAAACAAAATTTTTTATAGGAAAAGAGATAATATAGAAACCGTTGTTTGGCTTCTGTTAGCTGGTTCTAAATACCCTGCAATACTTTCATTCTCTTGCATGGTTTCACACTGTCTTGATAAGTCTGATGCTATAGTATACGAAGTTATACTCAAATATTTCAAGGAAAGAGATACTATGGTAACTACTATTAATGTCAGGCTATCTGGTGGTGGAACACAATGAAGCTTAAATTGTTTGGTTCTGACCTGTGTTGTTCTATTGATATGTCCTCTTTTAGCTCAATCTCACTTTTTTCTTTTTTTAAAAATTAATTTATTTCTTATTATTTTTTAATTAAGGGAAAACTAAATTAAAAATAGCGGGATATATTATAGTAACTTTTTATTTTCCTATTAACCTGATTTGAACCCCTGTATTGTTCTCCACATCTTGTTCTGACTGATTTTATTATATTCTGTTTTGTTTAATAGTATCAAGTTTGAGGGTATAGACAACCACTTTATAGGCAACAAGATATTCTATGATGCCCATTATGGTTTGACTAGTATCTTCTTTGGAAGTCCTGTAAGGTCTCCAATGTGGGTTTTATTGATCTTGTTCTGTACTGTTTTGTTCAATTCTATTATACCAGATGATACAGGCAACTCTTTTTAAGATAACAAGAGGCTAATGGTAACCATTGTTGATCACCTGGTAATCTTCCTGTTCTGACTGACTCTGTTTTGCTTTGTCACATTGGGGGTTTTTTTTGTTGTTGTTCTATTTTGTTTTGTTTGTTTGTTTTTCCTCTTCAAAGAAAAAGTTATAAGAACTGTGGGAGTAATAAAACCCAAAATGTGTAATAGTTATTGTAAAAAAGAGAGGAAAGAAAGTGATCTAAAGGATATAACTGCATGTATATTTAAGTGTGTAGGACAGAAAACCATATTACTGAGTTTTGTTGGATCATTGGACAGAACTGTCTGCAGTCTCAGTGTATTAATGTCCACTTTGTATGCTTTAATTTTGTAATCTGGACAACTGTTTCTGAGATGACAATATGTAATCTATTAACTAGTGATTGCTTACTGTATATTTTTTCTCTTGAAATTCTGTATCACTTGTACCTTTTTACTGTTATGTTTTGTTTTGTCTTTCTCTTTAAATAAAAAAAAAGTTAAAGGATAATAAAGATTTAAAACTTGACCACCATAAAAATTATCAAATTTACCTTTATCTCCAAGGTAATATCCAGATATGGATCAAAGGTATCTGAGACACCCTTGCAATTTAAACATTGGACTGAAATAAAAATAAAACATAAGCGAAGTATAATCATTATGACAGACGTAAGTATTAAAATTACAGAATACAAGTACTATTTGAAAGTAAAAGCATAACTTTTCTCCTACTACACTGGGAAAAAAGTTAATCTTCTACACAGTGCAGGAAAAGATCTTATGAATTGGCCCCTTGTACACTTCTGGGTGGAATATAAACTGGTATGATCTCTTAGAATGACAGCATGTCAGTATTAAAATTTAAAATACAGCTTAGGATTTAAATTCTAATTCTTGCCCTTTGGGGCTGGAAAAAAATAAAGAAATTCTAATACTAGAAGTTTATCATGCACACTGTTACACAAACACAAAAGCGTGAGCACATGGGTGGTGTTCATATAAGGCACTGATGGTGACAACAGAACAGCAAGCTAAATGTCCATCGATAGGGGAGTAAGACAAATGGGCGCCACTGCCGCTGTGGAACAGCCCGTCAGACCTGTGTGTGCTCAAGCAGAAAGACTGCTACTCATGTTAAGGCAAAACACAACTACTCTACAGTCGGCTCTCAGCGTGCTGATGAATAAGAAACTACCAGGAGGAGAGACTAGGAACTGGTACAGGGGCTGCTCCAGGGAGGAGGAGGGAGTCTCTGCTTTTCCTTATTTCCACAGTTTTCATTCTGATACCACATGCGTGTGCCACTTTATCGACTTGTGAACAAAAACTCACCTCTAGATCTCAGGTATCCCCCGAACACTTGGCAAATTAGTGTGGTGGCCTGGGTGTGTCTGTCTAACCTGAAAAAGACAAAACACTGATATAAGAATTCTGCAAAATTACAGATGTTATCACTAGATTTTAAAAGCACGTACATTTATAAAAGAACAAGAATTCAAAGAGGAGAGCCACAGAAAATAAAAGACCAGTCTGTGTGGTATCAGAGATTGGCCCTGCCTGGTGGGGCACAGTGACAATCTGGGGAGGAGGACAGAAGGAGCTAAATTACGGAGGGACTTTGAAATCAAGGCAGGAATTTGGATCTCAAGCAAAGCGGCAGGAGGAAGACGCCCTCAGCAGCCCTGTGACCCCACGTGGGCTTGGGGAAGGAAGGGAAGGCAGAGTCTGTCATTGTCCAGACCGGGAAGCCCTGGACAGGGAGAGGAATGCAAAGGGAGCTCCCTGTACCGGGTGTGCGGGCAGTAGCGGGTGGGTTAGGAGTGTTACATAAGGGTCTCGCCCGTCTTTCTCTTGGGTCTGCATTTAGATTTTAGGAAGAAGCCACAGGAACTGGACACTGACAGGGAGAGGGAGGAGGCAGGAAACACTTATTAGGCTGGAGGTCAACAGAGAAAATACCTGGCACAATTAGGAGAAGCAGCGACTTTTAGACCTGCCAGGGCGTGCCGACATGGAAATTAAGAACAGCGAAACCAATGTTCATTTCCTGACATCTATAATTGAAGCAATTCCAATTGTGATAGTAAGGACATCTTTTTAACTTTCAGTCATTTTAAAATAGTGCAAATCGGGGCCGGGGATTTAGCTCGGCAGCTCAAGCGCTTGCTTGGTACTTACAAGGTCATGATTTCGATCCATAAAATAATGCAAATCAGGTGGGAAGAGGCAACGCAGAGCCACAGGGTAAAGCAGACAGATCTGTGTATTTTCAGCATAAACACAGGCACAACAAGGCAGAGGTGTAAACTGAAGAAATGCTGTGTGCTCACTCGTTGCTGCCACTGAGGCACGCTTCCTGCATGGCGTCAACCGTGTGCTGAAGAAACTCGTGGGCATCTTCTTGCTCGCCAATTTGGAAGTGGCTGGCTATGCCTGTAGGTTTTAAGGAAAGACAGGGCTTTATCATTACATATTAAATGCAGGGCTGCCAAGTTACATCTTATGTTACTCAGAAAACCCCAAATAACTACACGGAATGAGAAAGTAGCGCTCACTCAAGCACCGCGCACTGTCACCAAGGCCCCGGAGCTGCAGTTCCCGAGTCCAGGAGCAGCCGCGGAATGACTCTCTACCAGTTAACACAGTTCACGTGAATGCAGTCAACATCGTTCTACCCACACAAGTTCATCCAAAATGTTCCGTAAGAGACCCTATGCAGGACATAATATCCAAACTATTCGATCCTGTACCAATGACCACAGGACAAATTACATCCTGCTAAATGACTCAGCACTTACAAGAAGGAAGTATTTTTAAAAACTATAAATAAAACAGTAGCAAAAGTATATGAATAACACAAAACCTATTCGACATTGGGTTTTATATGTGTAGGTCTATAAATATACTCTAGCTTATATCATGTAAAACTGCCAGGATCCTGCAAGTTCTGACCTATATAAATAGCAATTCCATGGAATTTACCTTTGATGATTCTTGTATAGTACAGGATTGATTTACCAAATTAAAACTAAATATAAATCTGTTAAAGAAACCTGTGGGACAATATGCAGGTTACACTACTCAGCACAAAAATCCAACTATCTGAGCAAAAGCCTCTGTAAATAATTTTATTAACAAACTGCATTTTAAATCACCTAAAATTTGCTCATATTAAACTGTGGTCTTCTTTTTTGTTTGTTTGGGTACCAGGAATCAAACTCAGGACCTTGTCCTTGGCAGGTGCTGTGCCACTGAGCTGTATCCCTGGCCCAGTCTTATTATATTGTCATCTCTAGAATTTCTAAAATAGTTTATATAGTGAATGTTTTACTAAACATCTGTTATTAATTAAACACATATCAGCTGGGTATGGTGGCACACAACTATAACCTCAGCACCAGAAAAGTACTTATCCACTTACAATAAAATATTTGTAATTTATTTGTAATAAACTTTGGACTTTTAAAAAAATCATGTAGGCCATTAAGCTAAAAACCAGGCATGGCAGTGCATACCCGTAGTCCCAGCTACCCAGGAGACTGAGGTAAGGCGATCCCTTAGGCAATCTTATTAGCCCTCATCTCAGGAAAAGACTACCTTGACTACCTCGCTTGAAAATACTTCTCTGCTTGGAAGGCTGAGCCAGGAGGATTGTTGTGAGTCCGAGACCAACCTGGACTACGAAGTGAGCTCAAGCCTGCCCGAACTGCATAGAAAGACCCTGTCTCAACAAAACAAAACAAAACAACTTCACTGGTTGATACTTATGCTGCATTTCATTGATGACAAACATGGGTTTAATAACATCCCCAGGATTATTGAGTGCCTCGGTAATATGGTCTTGCATTATACACATCATGCAAAATCCTTCTGCATGACCTGAAAGATAGATGTTAATGCCCCATATTAGCAAAATACAACTAGATAGTAAACCATAAATGAAGAGCACATTCCTGAAAAGAAATAACAGTAGCAGCTGCTAGGTGTACGCACTGACTCATCTACTTTTATTTTCATGTAGTTCTCTAAAAAAAAAAAAACTAAATAATAAGTATATTTTGGCTCTAGTTCACAAGAAAGGAAAAAAGGCTCAGGAGTTGAAAATATCCCTGTAATCTCAACACTTGGGAGGCTGAAGCAGGAGGATCACTGCAAGTTCATGGCCAGCCTGAGCTACAAAGTGAGTTCAGGGCCAGCCTAAACTGAATACTGAGATGGTATCTCAAAAAAATTACTTTCTTGTACTACTATTAGTTTCAAATGTGAAAGAATGTTAGCAATTTCTATGTAAATATTCTGGCTTTCCTGGCCACATATTACAGTCTCTGTTTACATTTTTTTTCTTCTTTTTAAAACCAGTCCTTTAAAAATGTAATAAATGATTCCTAGTTCATGCCAAGTGGTGTTATTGGAAACTAGTGGCTAGAGGCATGATATACTTCTTAATATCCTACAAAGAATAAGGTATCTCCTTACAGCAAAGAATTACCTGGCCCTAAATATCAAGAGGTTCTGCCTATAGAAAAGCTTCAGAACTTATCTAATAAAGCTTTAAAATCCTTGAAAGGATCAAACTATTTCTAGTTTACTACATCCCAAAATAAAGCTCAAAAATATTTAAGTAGAATCTGTTAGATGAAAAATACACTAGAGGATTAATAACAGATTAGACACCACAGAAGAAAACATTAGCGAATTTGAGGACACTCGTTATGGATAGAACATAGCTGTAATAATATATCAAGAGAAAAAAGAAACCTTAAAGTAACAGTAACAAGAGAGATGTGTATCAGTGAGCTGTGGGACAATTCCAAGTTGTCCTTGGTATGCATTTAATTGCAGTCTGAAACTAAAGGGATGGAACAAACACGTCGAGAAATACTTACCTACGAAAGAACTGCACAAGGAAGATTCTTAGGGTGATGGAATGATTTTGCATTTTGGCTGAGGTGAGGTGGTGGTTTACATGGATGCTATACCTTTGTTTAAGTTCAAAGAATTTAAATACGAAAATATTAATTTTATTCTGTGAAGTATATGGTTTTTTTTAAATGACCAAAAGTTGTCCCAATTTCATGGGAATTGTACATATACATATTTAAGAACCTCAATAAACTCAAAGTAGCACTGCTTAAGTCAAGCAACGAAATCTTAAAAGCAACTCTGGATAAGAAGCGTTCCAAAGGCAGGGAAAACTGACAGCAGACTTCTTGTCAGAGAGTGCAGGCCAGCAGGTCATACACTAACATCTTAATCTTATTAAACATCTTAGTTAAAGAAAAATAAGATGCTAACATCTTTCATAAAGATGAGATTTTCATACCTGGGAAAATGAAACAGAACTGGTTTTCCCTATTTCTTCTGCCATATGCAACAACAACAAATTCCTTGAAACTGCATATTCAGCTCACCCATAAAGAACAAACTTGACCTGGTTTGGGTCTGTGGCGCGGAAAACGTGGCAGGCCATCTGCGACTCGGGATCGTCGGGCTGCGCTTTGATCAGAAACTGATTCATGGCCGCGATGGCAGAGATGGGCAGCAAGGGGGTGACGGCGGGGAAGATCGCCAGCAATGTGCAGAAGAAGCTGACCCGCGCGCAGGAGAAGGGGACAGTACAGCTGGAGGATTTAAAGTCGTGCTGAGACCGGAGGCTGCAAATCCCGCGCCCTTAAATCAACGAACAGACTCGTGGACCCAACACGAAAAGCTGAGTTGCTTTTGGGGACTGCGGAAACTGAGACCCAGATCGAGACTCCAGGCGGCAGCCAGTTCTGCACCGCTGCACCAGAGCAGATGTACAGAGCTCTGGCGTTTCGAATCTAAACGGTGCACAGAAATCTGACCAGTCAGCGCTGAGCCGCGAGGTGGGGAAAAGTGGACGGCTTGGTGTGTGGCGGTCCCGGAACGAGGACTTGCACCGGACTCTGGTGAGTATAGAAAACCCCGCGGCGGCTGGGTTTGGCCAGAGAACAGCTGGCCCGCCACCACGGGGAAATCAATAACACAGAATCTGGTGCAGACATATTAGCCTGGCGGCAGAAATCGCAGCTTGGTGACATCACCAGGACCCCCTGTAGGGAGGGCTGGTGGAAGACATCTTGAGTCCTGGCAGAGTCTGATTGCTTGCTGGCTTCAGCTCCGCACGGAGAACTTAGTGGGAGCCATCTTGGTTTTGGGCAGATCTGCTTTTCTAGAGCTCCTATCACAGAGAGGTTTGGAAGAGAACGGCTGGGACCTGGGCAGAATCCTGTGCCATTACCCAGCTGCTTCTGATTCAGGGAGAACTGGCAGGAGCTGTTGGGGCTAGATCAGGCCTCTGCTTGGGGCCCAATGGGCGGATGCAGAATGGTCACAACTCAGTGACAACCAGAAAGTACAGCCTAATTTATGAACTAACTGACACAGAGGCTAGAGACTAGACTGTACCGCCCCTGCATCCCAACCTACCCCAGATAACAGCAAATTGGGGAGGACAGCAAAAACTCAAGCTGGCACGCTTCTGAAAGGCCCTAAGCAATTCGGAGAGGGCCAGAGAACTCCAGGACAGTCTGAAAGAAACCAGAAACATGACAAGAGATAAAAATAAAAAAAAATCTCCAGCTGTTCAACAGGAGAAATTAAACCCAAGAGAACTAAACACTGAAGAGAACAAGCACAGTAACCATCCATTGCTCGACTCAGCATCAGCCGAAATTAAAAAGTATTTACACGATCTCATAGAGGAATTTAAAGATGTACTCCTGATCCAAGTGAGGCAAGATATAAAGAGATTAATTAAAGAAATGACAAGCCCTGCCCAAGAGAACACAGATGGAAGAACTGAGGAAATCAGAAAAGAAAGAGAAGCATCTGAAGAATTTAAGCATAACTTAGAATACATGAAACAGATCCAAAGAGAAAATCAGGAAATTAAAAACTCCATTGAATATTGGCAAAATGCCTTGACAGAAACTAAAGACAACCTTCTGAAACTTGAAGAGAGATTTAGGGCTTATGAACGTGAAAGAAAAAGCCTCTTAAAAATAACAAGGAACCAGAAAGAAGCAATTCTAAAACTGGAAGATGATAAAAAGATGCATAACCTAAGAATAAAGAATGTGAGTGAGGAAGCAGGAACATCCAAAAATGAAATACAAAAAATATTCACAGAGATATTAAAGCAAAATTTCCCATGTATAGCAAAAAGAAATGATATCCAGATAAAAGAAGCATACAGAACGCCAGCTACCTACAACCAAAACAGATCTACACCTAGGCATATAATAATCGAGATCCCAGAAATCCACCAAAAAAACAGAATATTAAAAGCAGCCAGAGAAAAGATGCAGTTTACCTATAACGGGAAATCTATCAAAATAACGGCAGACTTATCAACACAAACTCTTAAGTCAAGAAGGGAGTGGGGAGAAATATTCCAAGTCCTGAAGGAAAAAAATATGCAACCTAAGTTCATATATCCATCAAAACTCTCTCTAAAAATTAATGAAGAAATAAGATACTTTCAAGACAAGGAGGAACTGTGGGAGTTCGTGGCCACCAATCCAACCCTACAGAGAGCGCTGAAGGACATTACAGAGAAAGAGAGGAAGAGATATCAGGATTACAGCTACAGTGGCAGAGAGGCCTCAGTGTACGGGGCAGACCATGGAATGAGGGAATAAGGTGGACAAATTATAGCAGAAAAGTGGAGTAGCAGACATGAGGCAGAGACGGTAAGCTAGTCTTTGGTAGAGACAGCTCTGAAACTATATTTAAAAAAAAAAAAAAGCAGAGGTCATTGCTAATGGTGTATAACGATTTAAAAGACACAGTAGTCCTAGTGCCATATTTAGATTGAATTAAATTTGTTCTGGTCTGTCCACTCATATCAGATTTGAGGACACAGACCTCTAGAACCAAAAATAGCAGGTTATACCATGGTAACCATCCTTACTTTCCTATTGACTTAAGCTGAAATCCTGTATTACTTACATTGTCTTACTATGACTGATCTTAATTGTATCTGAATCATAAGACTATTGGTTGGCCTTGACTGATCCTATTTGAAATCCGTATGCGTGTTAGAATCAACCCTAAAAGTAGAGGAAACTACTCTGAGCATGACAGGATGTAAAGGATATCCATACTGGTATGAATCAGTAACAGCTCTCAAATACTACAATGCAGTCAAAGATAAGTTTTTATAAAAATAGATGATAGTATATTTAACTATAATAAGCCAGTGTTGTCGACAAATCTATTGAAAATAACAAGAGAAAACATAGTAGCTATGGAAGATCATTTATATTATAGTTTTGTAAGTCTTATCCATTGCATGTTTATCTAGGAAATTGTTTCGCTGTCTTGTTATGAATTGGTTTTCCCTATAATACAGAGAGGATAGGAACAAATACTCTGAAGAAGAGACCTGAAAAACCCGAGGCTTATTTTGTAGCATTATAATATAAATTCTAGCAATCTATTGCCTGCTGATTAAAATGACTCTGGACTGGTTTCTTCAGCTCAACTTCAGCATATGCAGAGATGGGGACGGCTATCACAAAGAGAATGAGAGATGCGAGGGTAGTTGGAAATGTCTTCCCTAATTTGGAACTTGAGGACCTAAAAAGACTCCATCATCCTGTAATGATTTGATTAGTTCTATAATATGCAATAAGTATAGAAAGTGGGTGAAGTTAGGGACAACTATCTGTAAGAAGCTAGAGACAGTTAGATAAGGTAGATCTCCAGTGGACTTGCTTTGAAATCTGTATTTCTTTAAATTGTTTTTTATTTTTTTTTTAAATGTTCTGTTCTGTTTTGATATTGTTAACCTTATCCTCTTAGAGATGTAAAACAAATAGGTGGGACTGATAATCATATTACGGAGCTTTTGA